GCTCAGTCGTTTTGCAAATAGATCAAAGTTTAAACTGGCATGTTGTTCACCTTTTATCTGGTCATTTTGTGGTCAAATAAAAGGCCTACAAATTTTAAGTTGAATGTTCATTACATTTTTCGTAGATGTCTGTAAAAATAATTTCTATTCACATGGCTTTTTTGTTCTCTGGAAAATTACTTTTGATGATAAATACAAAAAAGCATAAAAAATCTAAACATCAACAATAGTGATAGTAATATTAATAATAAAATCATATTTCAGTGCAAAGTAACCTACAATTTCTTTGGTGGGGGGCAGCAAGGGACCAGGATAATGGATAGGGGGTTGCTGGCCCAAAAACGGTTAAGAAACACTGACTTAGAAGATAGAAACTATTGTGACAGCCCCTTAACAGTGGAGGAAATCTCTAAATGCATTACTGCTCTGAAGAGAAAATCTGAGAAGTAGTTTTGTCTGATTTCTTCATAGTATTTGTTAGGTTCTGTGTTGAGTTTTAGTTTCTTTCTGTCTAGTCCCATTTTCCCCTGTGAGTCTCTGTGTTGTCTTGATTGATCCCAGATGTGTCTAGTTTCCCTGATTACCCTCTGTGTATTTATACCCACCTGTTGTCTTTGTTCTTTCTCGTTGTTTGCTCTGTCAATTGTTCATCTGTCTGTTTCCAGTGCTGCCTGATATTCTGAGTTTGTTCCTGGTTCTTTATTAAAATCATAATTTCATCATGACTACCTGGGTTCACCGGCGTCTTCCTCACCTTCAACCACCGGACATCATGACAGAAGGACCCGACCACAGACAAGGTGAGGACGCCAGCGTTTGGGGCAGCGAGGCTTGGATCCAGCAGCAGCTGGAGTTGGCTCAACGGGATCTCTACAAAGATGTTAAGATCCTGCCTTCTCCGGTGCTGCTGGAGGAACTGGATCTTGCCTCGGACCTCGACGCACCCAGGCGACGAAGGCCGCGACGGAGGCCGCGGCGGGGATCTGGAGCGGAGGAGTTCTGTGGGGAGGCTCCATCCAGCCCTAATCTTTGGCTGGGGTCGCGGCTGGTTATCTGCCCGCCAGGATTCGGACCCCGTTGCTACTGCCCTGAGCCGCCGGAGGTCCCGGCCCCTGGGCACCGTCGTCACCTCTGCCCTGAGCCGCTGGAGGTCCCGGCCCCTGGGCGGAACCCGCGCTGCCTCCAACCTCAGCCTCCGCCTGTCCCCGCGCTGAGGCGGCGTGCACTGTCCGAGCTTCCCAGTGCTCCCAGTGCTCCGTCCGAGCTTCCCAGTGCTCCGTCCGAGCCTTCAGCCGGCCGGCCCCTTTGCCGGCCTTCTAGAGCCTCCAGCCGGCCCCACGGCCCGAGTGTTTCCTGCAGTGGCGGTGACCGCCGGACCCGCCTCCTCGACTCCTCTTCCTGTGGCGGCGGCGACCGCTGGACCTCCCATGTGGGGTTCGCCTCCCGGACTGTTCCTCTGGGATTTTGTTTTGTTTTGCTGTGGTCCCTTGTCCTCTGTCCATCGCCCCTCCGCCCACCCTGATGGGTTTTTTTGTTGTGCCTTTTTGGGGCGTCTGGTAGCCGCCCCTTGAGGGAGGGGTACTGTTAGGTTCTGTGTTGAGTTTTAGTTTCTTTTCGTCTAGTCCCATTTTCCCCTGTGAGTCTCTGTGTTGTCTTGATTGATCCCAGGTGAGTCTAGTTTCCTCTGTATATTTATACCCACCTGTTATCTTTGTTCCTTGTCGAGTCCTTGTCGTTTGCTCTGTCAATTGTTCATCTGTCTGTTTCCAGTGCTGCCTGATATTCTGAGTTTGTTCCTGGTTCTTTATTAAAATCATAATTTCATCATGACTACCTGGGTTCACCGGTGTCTTCCTCATCTTCAACCACCGCACATCATGACAGAATTCTAATTTTTTTAAAGTCCTTTTTGTGGGCTTTATGAGCTGGAAGCCCAAATTATGTAAAAATAAACAGATATTTGAAATTGTTTTACCTGTGGACTCTGAATCTAAAATCTATGAAAGTTTAGCTTTTTGAATGGAATTATGGGAATTAAACAATTGTATCTATGATATTCATATTTTTTGGAAAGGGTCTGTATGTTGGGTAACAATCATATATTTGTTACCTAATTCAGTCCAGAACCTGTCTGCCACATATGAGATTTTTAATATATTTTGTGTTGACCACTCATAAATGGAATTGTAATTTTCCAGGTTTAGGTAGAAATATTATACAAGCAAAAAAGTCCATCAATTTTGTTTTCTACCTTGCATTTTATGGACATTATAATGTTTTCTCATTGTTGTGTCAATATCAAGCTAAGTCAAGTTTATATGTATATCACAATTCAGCAACAAAGCAGTCCAAAGTGCTTTACATCATAAACAATGTAGCAGCCAATTATCCAACATCAATAAATATAACATTTTGTCAAATGCCATCATCAAAATCATCAAGCAAATTCACATCAAGTATGTTAAATGTTCCATTTATTACTAATCAAATGCAACTCTAACCATGTGGGTTCTTAGCTTTGATTTAAAGAAACTCCGTGTTTCAGGTGTTTTGCAGTTTTCTGGAAGTTACTTTAAGGTGCTTCAAAACTAAATGCTGTTTCTCTATGTTTGGTTCTGGTTCAGGGGATGCAGTCAAATGGGTCAATGAACAAAAAAGGTCTGCAGGATAGGCAGAAGCAGCAAATGGCCAGAGGTCTACCTAAGCAGAAGGCCATCAGAGACGTCAAACAGGTGATTGTTGTTGCTTCAGGGAAAGGCGGCGTGGGCAAGTCGACAACAGCAGGTACTGCTGGCTTCCTCTGCAGAAAAATGTATCACTTTTCCTAGAGATCGTTAACACAAAGGCGTAAATGTGCATGTTTTGCATTTAATTCTGTCAAATCTTCCTGTTTATAGGATTTAATGAATAACAATTTTTTTTGTCAATGATTAACTGGTACTTTGTTGATTATTCCCAGTAAAAGCAGGGGTGTGTGTGTGTTCTAGAAGCACTTTTTAGTGTAGATGAAACATTGAATTTGTTTATTTTAATGTTTCAAATTAAACATATTTTATCTGAAACAGATTAAACTTGTTTAATCTGTTTCAGATTAAACAGACTGAATTCATTCAACCACAGATTCATGTCTTGAACTATGGAAACATACTTTTAAACAATATATTTCATCTTGTTATTGTAAATACCTTTATCTTGAAACAAAAGGTGAGTTTTTATTTAAAGATTATGATAAAACTGAGTTCTAGTGTGTTTGTGTATTTGCAGTGAACTTGGCTCTCGGATTAATGGCCATTGACAAGGTAAGATATCACTCGTGTCTTTTTTTTTTTTATTTAAAATTAAACCGTGTCACAGACACAGAATCTTTTAATCAAATCCACATTTCTGATTCTGTTATACTACAGAATCAGAAATGTGGATTTGATTAAAAAATAAAATTTCTGGCTCTTGATCACGCTATGCCTAAGATCAGGTTAATGGAGCTGATCTTTCTCTCTCAGTCCAAGTCAGTTGGTCTGTTGGATGCTGACATCTATGGGCCCTCCATTCCCAAACTGATGAACTTGAAAGGAAACCCAGAGCTCAACGATGGTCTGTTGTTTAGCTAAGCCTTGTTGATATTGAATTAGATGTTCTGTTCCGTACAGGAAGTTTAGTTTTTTCACCTTCCTTTAGATAATCGAATGATTCCTCTTATCAACTATGGTGTCCCATGGTGAGTTGTTTTTTTTCTTTTAAAAATAGTCATGGTTAAGTTAAAAAAAAAACTGAATTATGGGTCACATGTGTGGGTGAACATATACGTGAACCATGTGTGTTTACATGTTCTCTAATGTAACTTCTCTGTTCTGTCAGTATGTCAATGGGCTTCTTGGTACAGGACGCATCCCCAGTAGTTTGGAGGGGACTGATGGTAATGTCTGCTATAGAGCGCTTGCTCAGACAGGTAAAAGTTAGATAGAATATTTATTATTTCCCCATTTTGTCACCCATTAATGTTGATATGTTTTTTTGCATTTGTAGGTTGAATGGGGCTCTCTGGACTACTTAGTGGTAGACATGCCTCCCGGAACGGGAGACGTCCAGCTGTCCATCACTCAGAACATTCCCATTGCAGGTCAGTTCTCCTTTAAGGGTGTTTTCAAACCAGTCCTGTTTAGTTTGCTTTAATCAGACTCTCATTCGTTTGTCTAGAAACTCCAGTTCGTTTGGGGGGAGTGAATGCAAATTTAAATTCCAAAACGGACTAAAAAAAACAAACTCTGATCCGCCTAAAAACCTCGGTCTCAGTTCGGCTGAAGTGAACTCTGATGCGATTGGAACACAATGTGAATACAACTAGACTGGAGACCGCTCCAAACGCAGGAAGCTAACTACAGTGGAGGGAGTTCTGGTCAATATATTACTCTCTGCCCTGCAGGTTCACAGAGATGTTGTGTAGGTTGCTATGGCAATGGATCTGCGTGCCATCACAGAGAGTGAAAAAAAGCAGAATATAAATGACTTAAAGCTCTTTACACTTGTTTACCAGCTTATTTTCCCTTTGCTGTGGCACACTGCAACTGTTACAATTTTTAAATCTTTAGTAAAAGACAAAAACTCAATTGCCTCGTTTGTTTGAATATGCAGTCATCAAATAGGATGACATATTATATATATATATATAAAACGAGACCGAGACAAGACCAAGACCAGCGCCCTCCACTACATGACACGATAAAATGTGAAATATGATCAAAATTGCTTCTCAAATTGATCTGAAAGATTCACATTCCCATAAAAACAGCTAGATATTAAATACTTAGAACTGGGGTGTGCTGTGGTGGCGGAGGGGTTGGCACAACCCACATGTGGAAGCCTTGGTCCTTGACGCGGCTGTCGCGGGCTCGATTCCCGGCCTTGGCAACCTTTGCTGCATGTCTTCTCCCTTCTCTCATTGCCCACCTTCCTGTCTGTTGACTATCAAATAAAGGCCATTAGAGCAAAAAAAAAATCTTTAAAAAGGAAAAAAAAAATAAAAAATTTAGAACTGAAATTAATTTAACCAATATTAACCAATACATCTCTATGCCACAAACCGCGTTGGTCTCGTGCCATCCCTAAAAAGATAACGCCCTGGTGTTTGCCCATATTGCTCATCTCAGAAACCACCATTCTCTGCACCATTAAACATAGCAATTGAGGCAATGCTCTGTCAGTAAATAACGCTCAACTATGAGCAAGGACGTAAATCCCATCTCATTATTGGGGGGGACCATAAACAGGGAAATTTTTTAAGATCAATTTTGGGGGTTACAGTAAAATGTAACGTAAAATGTGGTTTAAATTTTTTTGGGTGTGTTCAAGCTGCACCATTGAAAATTACT